GTCCTTGGGAGAGAGTTCATAATGCCGTTTGCCTCTCTTGAGGAAAATCTCTTTACTGTTACCAGCTACTGACAGTGACCATGTGAGATAGAAATGGAGACGAGCTCCTTAAAATCTGAAATAGTGTGTAGGTGACTGTGACGTCTAAAATGACCTGGGCAAATCAAAACCCGATTATCAGCACCCTCTGACCCCCTTTTAAAGCTAAACCAGTTGCTACGTCATTTGACTGGTGCCTGTAGTCTGCACTGCCGCCCATGACAAAGTGTCCTCTTCTCTCTCCCCCAGGCCACAGGCCTCCGCCAGCGCGCAGCGGACACCGGTGTGTGGCAGATAATACCAACCTGTACGTGTTTGGAGGCTACAACCCAGATTATGATGAGTCTGGGGGCCCCGACAATGAGGACTACCCTCTCTTCAGGGAGCTCTGGAGGTATCACTTTGCTACAGGAGTGTGGCACCAGATGGGCACAGACGGCTACATGCCCCGAGAGTTGGCATCTATGTCACGTGAGTGCAAGCACTTCTGAACTTTTGACTTTGTAGTCTGCGCAGGAGGCCAGGCTCCACCAGCGGTTCCTTTGTTAGTCATTTAGGTGACTTGTGCTATGCTAGACCGACTCATGGCTAGGCTTTGAGCATGGTCAGAATATAGCACAGTCCTTCAAATGACGTGGAAGTTGAGTAGTGCTGAGTCTGAATCCAGCTATATAGTTACATGCTGGATGATTTTTAGCCTCCATTTTCTTATCTGTACAGTGGGATTTACAATTTCTCAGAAGGTCAACTAGAAAATATATGAGTAGGTAGCCCCCCCCCCAAAAAAAAAACAACAACTAGGTGAGCATCGAGCAACTTGTTCTGACTTAGTGCACCTGGGAAGTGCTGTCATCTGGGAAGGATCTCTCTGTTCACAGTGAATTTTTTCATAAAAGCAGTTTCACTTGAACCTCGTTTTCTGTGATGGCTGATTTAAGAAAACAGTGTGCGGCTATGAAATTTTGTTCCTGCTCAGGCGCAGAAACTGTTGTGATGTTGAACACAGGTTACAAGGACAGCACTGTGGGAAACACTCAAGTGTATAAGTGGTTTTCTCTTTTCAAAAAAGATGAAATAGCGATGACAAACCTCATTCTGGACATCTGTCAACTTCCAAAACGGACAAAAATGTTGACAAAATTCATGCACTTGTGCTCAGACTGACGATGATGACAACAGACCATTGATGAGATGGGACAGATATCTGGACTGGCTTGGAGCTCGGTTCAGCAAATTGTAATGGAAGATTTGGGAATGAGAATGGTCGCTGTGAAATTTGTTCCTCTGGTTCTGACTGACCAGAAAAAAGAACATCAAGTGGAAACATGCTGTGCTTTGAAAGTACAGCTCCAGAATAACCCAGACTTTTCCCCAAGGTCATTACTGGTGGTATTCTTATGACCCTGAAAGCAAACATCAGTCAAGCCAGTGAAAGACACCATTGTCACCCTGCCCAAAAAGCGCTTGTCAAGTGAAATCAAAGATCAAGATGATGCTCACTTGTTTTTTGATGTGAGGGGAACAGGACATTTGGAGTTCACTCTACCAGGTTAGACTATTAATCAAGCTTTCTATTTAGAGGTTCTGAAAAGATTGCATAGCAGTGTGCAACAAAAAAGGCCTGATTTGTGGCAGATGAGGGACTGGTTTTGCCACCATGATAATGCACCTGCTCGTACAGCCATCTCAGTATACCAGTTTTTGGCAAAAAACAGCATGCCTCTCTTGTCCCCCATACCTTACTCACCTGACCTCGCTCGGTGAGACTTCTTTTTGTTTCTTTGAAAGCAGAGGGACATGAAAGGACAGTGGTTTGAGGACATAGAAGAGGTGAAGAAAAAAACGAGGAAGGTGCTGTCAAGCCATCCAACAGATGAGTTTGAAAACTGTTTCCAAGAATGGAATTGCAGATGTGAAAAGTGATTAAGCGTAATGGAGAGCACTTAAGTGAAGGCAATATGGTTGTTTTGTTAAAAAATTTCAACACCTAGCTTGAGGGGGTTCTGTTTTTTTTTGGGGGGGGTACCCCCTAGTATACGTTAGGCCAAATGTAGAGGATCAACATACAGTGGGCTTTGTAATGATGGTAATAACTATTGAGCAAAGCATTCCACGGATCAGTTGACTCCTTACCACCCCCATCTGATGAAGGTACCAGAGTGAAGGCCGTTGTACACAGGAGGACGCTGAAGTTCTAGGGAGGCCCGAAGGGGGAGGGTGGGGGAAGAGTGCAAGCTCTGGGACCACGCTGCCTGGGAGAGGATCCCAGCTTGGCAGAAATCTTTTTAGGAAACTGTCAAAGTGTTATTTAAACCACTCGCTGTCCCTTTGCCACCATCTGTCAAATCAGGGAAGATAATAATAGTTCCTAGCTCATAGGGTAGCTCTGAAGATAAATTGGAGAGACAAAATAACTGTCCTGAGGTCACACTAGACTTTAAACCCAGGTTTCACTGGCTCCAGAGGTGAGGCTGTTGGCCACACTACATCTATTAAAGAATTAAAGAAAGTGACATTGAAAGTACTCAGGTACCCCTCAGTGGGTGAGTGGATACACAAACCATGGAACAGACATGCAGTGGAATACGAAACGAAACCCCGCCTTATGTGGTTGAGTGGGTTCTGTGTGGCACACTGTACAGCTTTAGCGAATAAGGGTGACTCGGCCAGGGAACGTCATATGACTTGCTGAACCTGGGGGCCGCGATGCCAAATGAAACAAATCAGTCACAAAAGGCTAGCTAGTGTATGAGGCCATCGTTTTATTTATACGTATATATGTACATAAAGCGCACAGAAAGAAGCTTCCTTTACTCTCACCAGCGATGGGGGGGTGGGGGGAGTCACTATCTGGACAGCAGGCCTGTATTCACTCGGGTGAAGGGAAAGACAGTACCCATAGAGAGGGAGGCCAGAACAGGAAGACACAGGGTAGTGAGAGAGACAAGCAGTGTGAGTACTACTGCATCCTCAACCCTGCAGGAACAGTGAGAGCATGCACTAACGGGAGTGGATGCATAGGTCGCCATGTCAGCTGAACGGGCCTGGGATGACATGGGCATGTACCCAAGAGCAGACACAGGTTTGGCACAGGATATCTCCACATACATATTTGGTTGTGCTGCAAATATATCCAGGTATGTGGTAGAGCATACAGGGGCAGAGTTATGCAAACTTCTTAGCCATAACCACACACCTCAAGAGACTAAGACACTGGGCTTGGGGGCACCTTGGTCAGTCTGCATAATAATACAGCCCATAAACACAGTATTCGACACCCTACTATGAGAAGCCTAAAAGTGGCCATTCTAAGGAACAACTACTGGTCTCTTCCCATCCAGAGCAAAGAAGAATGAAGAACCCCAAAGACTTAAGGAAAAACTGAGTCCAGGGAACCATGGCCTCTACTAGCTTGAGATCAGAAGAACTAGATGGTGCCTGGCTCCCAGTATCCACTGCTCTGATCAGGATTACCATGGAAACACTTGGACAGTAATAGGAGAGAAATGTAGAACAAAATTAAAATCATTTTAAAAGATTTATATTTTCTGATCTGATCAAGATTAATGGGATCCCCCATAAGACACCCTTCAAGCCTGGAACCGACACCCCTCACCCGCTTCCCCAGGATCACGTTTCAGCCAAAAAATAGTTCAAAAAGCAAATAACAATACTGGTGAGGAAAATGCTCCCCAGAACAATTAGTCATACAAAATCATAGTTTAGATGATAGGAAGGGGCAGGGAAGATGGACCATGGGAATGGGGAACCAGTGGGGGAGCGGGCAGAGTGCTGCTGCACTGAGGGCAATGCAGCTAAGGTCACAAAACCAAATGCCACCCAGTCACTGCCTGCCAACCTAATTTGCTCTGTAAACGTTCACTCAAACTACAGTAGAACGTTACAGTGCAAAGGCAGGAAAGAGTACGGAAGCACTGTTTTCAGAGTGGAAGTCCGTGTGTATAATTAGGGCTGTGTATTGGCAGGAACAGACGAAGGGAGAGCACCAAGGTTACTAGAAGGACATCGGTCTGTTTCTTTTTACCTGATGGAGGATTAAAATGACAGAAACCCTAATTTCAGGTGTAGGATTGTTCCATAGGCTGAAACACAATGCTCCTTTCTCTCCTTCGCCCTGCAGAGCCTCACTGGGTCATTGTAAGGAAACGCTGATAGATGCCTCATCTCCTTCTGCTTTGCTGCCCCCTTGGGCTGCCCTTGACAGTAGTGGTCTGCTGCAGTGCATCTGGTTCTGTATTATTACACCCAGATTTGATGAACTGCACAGGGTGTATCGGACAGAGGCCGTACACTTAAACCCATGGCGCAGTCCTTCCATAAGCTAGACCTTTTTGTGCGGAACTTTGTAGTAGCAAGAGGTCAGGTGTGAGCTGCTGTCTCGGGTGTTCACTTTTAGTTTCTCAGCTCCCCCGCGTGAATGTGGGCACACACTGCCCGGACCAGTGTGTCAATGGGACCTGTGCTTCTCCTTCCCCAGTTGTGCTGCATGGAAACAACCTGCTCGTCTTTGGAGGAACGGGCATCCCCTTTGGTGAGAGCAACGGCAATGACGTGCACGTGTGCAATGTGAAGTATAAGAGGTGGGCACTCCTCGGCTGCCGGGGGAAGAAGCCCAGTCGGATATATGGACAGGTACCGGGACAGTTGTGGCAGATGTGCTTGCTCATAGTTTTAAAAAATAATTACTCTGTTATTTCCCCCCCCCCAAAATGGAAAATTTGTTCAGTGTAGTTAGTGTTAGGCTTTCCAGTCTGCTGTGAAATGGACAGTTGTGACCCTGGTTGCTTGCCTCTCCTTTTTCCTATCTCACCTGTGGTTCTGAATCCAGTTAAATGCCGTCCTCTTTAAATGCCAGGGGATTGCTGGTGGTGTGCTGGTTACACATCGGCCTGCTAACTGCAAGGTCCAAGGTTCGGCGCCTTTTCAAGGGAGAAAGTTGGGGCTTTCTACTGTAAAGAGCTGTGGTTTTGGTAATCCTCAGGGCCAGTGCTACCCTGCCGTATCAGGTCACTCTGAGTCAGTATTCATGAGACCGGCAGGTAGAACTCTGAAACATGCTGTTCTTTTGAAGGGGCAGGTGTTTCAGGAAGGTAAAAAGTACAAGCAAATTTTAGAAGACTGGATTTTCGAGGGTTCTGTCAGTCAGTCTTGTTCACCTTTCCCCATTTTCCAGGCCATGGCGATCATCAACGGCTCCCTTTATGTCTTTGGAGGGACAACGGGATACATTTACAGCACAGACCTACACAAATTAGATCTCAACACCAGAGAGTGGACACAGCTAAAACCTAACAACCTGTCCTGCGACCTGCCAGAAGAGAGGTGAGCTTCTTGGGTTCATGCGTGCTGAGTGCTTCCATTCAGACTGGCTTCCTTCCCGAATAGTGCCGAGATGTTGGGAAGAAAACTCTTTGGCCCTGGTTAAAATAGCCAACTAGCAAGAAATGATCTTTGGCCAGGGAATGGCATTTTCTTCTTAACTGAAGAATTTTTCTCTTTGATGTTTCAGTTTCTCAGCATCAGAAAGATAGTATATAACACTTAGAAGAAGAAACCGGTGGTAGCAGTTACAAGCAAATTTTTTATCACAGGAAAAACAATTACTTTTTTAGTTCCCTTCTGCACCCACATATTAAGATCCATTGACCCATTTCTCACAGCTGTGTCCCCAATACCGAGCACAGTGCCATGCTCACGGCAGGGTCCGGTGGATGGGGACTGGATGAGTGGACAGACAGGTGGATAAACGAGAGGAGGGGAGGAAGGCAGTAGGGGAGTGAGGGCACTGTCTGCAACATCATAGGAAGATGCCCTTGTGCTGACATGTTTCACTGTCTACTTAGCTTTCTCACTGGTAGAATTATATGCACTAGAAAGCCTGAAGATTTTTTCTCTTCCAGTTTAAAAGCACAAATAGTAAACATTTTAAAATTCACTTTGTTGAGATTACTATCTCTTTGTTGCCCTTAAGCAAAACAACATGCAGGTGCTAAGGGACTGTTGTTGTTAGATTCCATGGCATTGGCTTCACCACCACCCCCCCTCAGGTTTCTGGCCCATAGCGACCTAATGCACAACAGAAGGAGACACTGCCCGGTCCTGCGCCGTCCTCACAAATGCTCCTTTGCTGGAGTCCATTGTTGCAGCCCCGGAGTCACTCACCTCGGGGAAGGCCTTCCTCTTTTTCACTGCCCCTCTCTTTTCTGGCAGCACCGTCTGTGCCAAGCGCGATGCCCTTTTACAGGGACTTGGTCTCTCCACATGTTCAAAGTGTGTCCGAAGAAGCCTTGCCATCCATGCCTCTAAGGAGCACCCTGGCCTTACTTCTTCCAAGACAGATTTGTTGGTCCTTTTGGCAGTCCAGGGTGCTTTCAGTATTCTTCTCCAGCACCACAATCCACATGCATCGATTCTTCTTCCATCCTTTGGTCTTCCTCACTCAGTGTCCAACTTTCCCATGCATATGAGGCCATCGGAAATGCCATGGCTTGGGTCAGTTCTCAAAGTAACATCCTTGCTTTTCAGTACTCCAAAGAGGTCTTACATGGCAGATTTACCAAGTGCATCTCATCTTCTGATCTCTTGACTACTGCCTCCGTGAGCATTAATTGTGGATCCAAGCAAGATGAAATCCTTGACAACTACGATCTTTTTTTCCATTTATCATGATGTTATTGGTCCAGTGGTGAGGGTTGGGGTCTTCTTTACATTGAGTTATAATTCACACCGAAGGCTACAGTCTTTGATCTTCATTAGCAAGGGTTTCAAGTCCCCCTCGCTTTCAACAAGCAAGGTGGTGTCATCTGCATAGTGCAGGTTGTTCATAAGCTCTCCTCCAAGCCTCATGCCAAATTCTTCTTCATACCATCCAGCTTCTCTGATGATTCACTCAGCATACGGATTGGCTAAGTATAGTGCGAGGCTACAACCCTGGAGCACACCTTTCCTCATTTTAAAGTCATGTTTTGCTCACATAGTTACTTGTTGCTCATGTAATATATGTGGTGTGTTCCTAAAATCAAACTCACTGTGAGTCAATTTTGACCCACAGAGACCCTACAGGACAGGGTCAGACTGCCCCTGTTGGTCTCCAAGACCATAACTATTTACACGAGTAGAAAGCCTCGTCTTTCCCCTGTGGAATGACTGTAGTGTGAAACTGCTAATTCATAGCTAGCAACCCAATACGTAATCAGGGCGCCACAAGGGCTAGTGTGTTAGTAGACCGATTGTTGCCAAGCTACCACGAGAAGATTGGTAAGTCACCTGTTAATAGATTCATTTTGATGTAACTTATTTTAGCAACACAAAAGCCTTAGGGAAAGGAGGAAATTGCTTGTTAGATCCTATGTTAGTCTGGGTAGACTAGAGAAACAGATTCATAGAGACTCTTAATGTGAATAAGAAAGAGGTTTATATACAAGAGCAATTGAATATTGAGAAAACATCCCAGTTTAGTCCAGATCAAGTCCAGAAGTCCAATATTAGCCCATATGTCTGATACCAATCTATAAATTCCTCTTCAGATGCACGAAAAACATGCAATGATGTTGAATCCAGGAAGATCACAGGCCAGTGGGTGGGAAGTCTTGTGGATCCAGTGCCGTTGTAAGCATCTCAGTGGTGGCAGGGGTCTCCATGTGGCTTCTCTGGCTCCAGAGGTGTGGTTGCATCAGGATAGGTCCATGTGACTTCTCTAGCTCCCAGGGCGTAGCCCCATGTGTCTTGTCAATAGAGCGTCTCCCAGGGAGTGAGCAGAGAGAGAGAGAATCTCTCACCTCCAAGGAGGAAACTACAGAAGTTCCCAGAATTCTCAGGAGAAGGCCATGCCCACACAGAGGCCTCATTGGTTACCATATATACTCGTGTATAAGCCAAGTTTTTCAGCACATTTTAAATTCAGTTTTTGTGGTAAAACTAGGTGCCACGGCTGATATTTGGGTGGGCTTATACTTGAGTATATACGGTATATCTTGATTGACAGGCCAGACTCCACCCCCTCACTCGTGATCCTCTCAAATTGACCCCAGATTATGTAACAACCACAGATCCTGTTGCGTTAGTCTGAGTCATAGTGAGTCATAGTCTGCCCGGTGCTGTGCCATCCTCACAATCATTGCTGCGTTTGAGCCTGGCGCTGTGCCACTGTCTGTCTTGTGGAGGGTCTTCTTTTCTGCTGCCCCTCTACTTCACTAAGCAGGGTGCCCTTTTCCAGGGACTGGTTTCTCCTGATCACGGGTCCGAAGTGCAGGAGGTGGAGTTTTACCATCCTGGCCTCAAAGGAGCACTCCCAGCTATTTGTCTGTTCTTTGGCAGCCCTCGGTACATTTGGTATTTGCCAACACCATACTTCAATCGCGTCCATTCTTCTTCAGACTTCTGATTACTTGGGCAGCTTTTTCATGCCACTAAGGCGATTGGAAGTGGCCTGGGTCAGGCGAACCTTAGCCTTCAAAGTGACGTCTTTGAAGTACTTTACAGAGGTCACGTGCAACAGATTGACTCTCTACTGCATGGCCGGATCCCTTGACTTGCTTCTTGGCCATTGACCATGGGTCCAAGTACACTGACCTCCGACGTCAGTCTTTTACCTGCTTATCATGTTGCCTCTGGGCGGTATCGTAAGGTGAAATTTGTATTGAAAGTTGTAGTTTCAATCTCTGTCAGTAAGTGCTTCCAGTCTTTAAAGGAGACTTAAGGGAACTAGAGTGTGATTTTATGGCTTTTTTTTTTCACGTGTAATTTTTTTTATTCCAAAAATATAGCAGTATATTGTCTTCAAAGCATTTTCAAATGGTGTCCATCATAGAGTATTGCAAATTATTTTAGCACCCAGCTAGACTGCTTGGATTAATGTTCTGGTGGGTGTTTCATGTTATAGTCATAGTTCTATGTAGCATAATACTTTAGGTCTCTTTGAATCTGCTGCATAAATATGTTAATTTTAAATCTCATAGTCTATAGTGTCTCATTATTGGCAGATTGCTTTTTCAAAACTCTGTAATAAGTTTCCACTTATACAAAGCTATCCCAAAAGATTCTAGAAAAATCTCAAAAATGAAAAGAAGCAAAATGAAGGAAAACATCTAAACTCAGAAGTAACCAGGATGAACGTTGTATCCTTACAGTCATCCTTCGTGCAGGCTTATGTGTTGATACATTTTTTGTTGAATGATAGCATATCCACCTTTTTGTAGTGAACATTTTTTCCCTCTCACTTAATGACCTGAAAAATAGGTTTCTCAGGATCGTAACAATCCACTCTGCCTACTTCTTCAGAAGGAGACCGGGTGGCATAGTGGGTTATGCATTGGGCTGCTAACTGCAAGGTCAGCAGTTTGAAACCACCAGCCACTCCTCGGGAGAAGGATGAGGCTTTCTACTCCTGTCAAGAGTCACAGTCTTGGGAACCCCCGGGGTGGCTCTGCCCTGCCATCCAGGCTTGCTGTGAGTTGGCTCTGCCTGGGTGGCGATGAGTTTGAGAGGAGCTTGCTTCTTTCTACTGACGTACTCTCTGTTTCATGTCTGCACTTGTAACCTGTTCGACCCTTTCCCTGTGAGAAACACTCAGTATTGTGCTTGTAAACAATGGTGCAACACAGACTGATGGCCAAATCTTGGATAGATCACTGTTCACATCCTTTCCAACATATTTTATTGACTATATTTTCAGATACAGGCATGAAATTGCCCATGACGGGCAGAGGATTTACATCTTGGGAGGTGGTACTTCCTGGACCGCTTATTCCTTAAACAAGGTAAAAAACCAACCCAAACCAAAGGAAAAACGGCAAGGATCTCAGCAAGTCTTATTACTTGAAGTATTTTAATTTGGGGCTGGGTTTTTCATCAATGCCTAGTTTGTGTTAGGTGGTTTTTTTAATCTAAGGTCAAACTCCTGAGTCCTGTTAGATTGTATTTCACCCTCACGGACAGTGTGTTGGGAGGGTGAGAGGAGTGACCGGAGGAGGGGCACAGGACTCAGCATGAGCTTTGGAGTCCAGAATGAAATAGGAGCCAGGTCTTCCCTCTGAATGTCAGTGCTGTCACGAGGGACACTACCCATCCCTCCCTTCCAGATCCCACCCACCTCACCCCCCTACTCCCTCCCCCCTGTCCTCCCCCCAGCACTAACATGTCATGCTCCATACCCGGCTCGGAAAATCCGGAGTGGATGCGGCATTCCTGGGTTTCCTGACTCCATCCCTGCCAACCTCCACTTGGCTATTTCCCCCCTGTGCAATCCCATAAAAGGCAAAGCAGCCCCGCTTTGCCGCGTAAATGTGATGCGTGTCCACAGTAGACCCAGTGGAGGGAGGGAAGGACGGGTGACGGATGGACAGACGGACGCCGTTCCCCCTCTGGGGTCCGCTGTGTTGCTTTGTTTCTGCTGATTTCTTCAGTTCCTCCATGTGCTTCTGTTTCAGCCACCTCTCTTAATGTTTGGCCTTAGAGTGGAGTAAGGAAAAAGCCGAGAAATTATAATTTTAAACTAAGAATGCATATTTGTACAGGCTGTTGTTTAAAATCCAGCTCTCAGGCTGTCTAAAATTATTTATCTGTGTGTGTCTGTATTTCTTCCTTTCTCTCTTTCTCTCTCTCCAAGATCCACGCATACAACCTTGAAACAAATGCATGGGAGGAAATCGCGACAAAACCCCATGAAAAAATAGGTAAATTCCAAATGACAGTTCACGTATTTGGATGCACTCGTTTCATCCTTGTTTGGAACGGAAGAAGGCATTTTAGTGAGCTTATGTGGCAATTACGAGACCGTCGAGCTGGGGTTAGCAAGCCCTGCTCTAGCAGCCCCACTGTGGCTCTTCCTCGGCCGTCGGGGAGACGCTGTTGGAGGAGGTGGTCGATTACGTGGCAGAAACAGTCTTGGGGTGGCATGAGAAATTGGGGCTAGGTATTTGAATGAAGCTCTCCTCCTCTCTTTCTAAGGAAAAGGACCACAGGAGAGTCACCTCACTATGGCACCTTATGACAGTGACCCTGCGGCAGAGTCATTTCCGCATGCACTCAGCAGGGATTGGGGGGACCAGTCAGTGTTGGTTCAGTGCAACCAAGGGAGTGTTTTCAGGGAGTCTGTCATGCTGTTCCCAGTCTCCTGTCAACAGTGGGATTTCTGTGTTCATGTGTTTGGCAGGTTTCCCTGCAGCCCGGAGATGTCACAGTTGTGTTCAAATAAGAAATGGTAAGGATTCGAAATAACTTTCTAATTTCATTTCTGCAATTAGTTAGTTGTCCTGTGGGCAGTGCCATCCTCCCTAATGATAACCTCTCAAAACACATGCATGGCTTTGGGAAGAGTCCGTTTTTGTAACCCACACTAAGGGGAAGTCCGTAAAGTTATGTCTCTCTCTGCTCCTTGTTTGTACTATAAACCAGTGTGCTGCTTGCGCTACCAGAGAACACACAGCTTGGCAGTAGTGTGCGTCTTGTTACTGTACCACCTGCTCCTGCGGCACTCCACCTCATCAGGTGACTGTCCATCTGATGGGGTAGGACTGATGTTCTTGACTGCTTCCACCATAGAGGCCTGTGTGGACATTGCATGGAAACTAATGACTCCTTCAGAGTGTCTTCATAAAGCTTGCGTGCTGGATGGGAAGCGCGAATAGAACTCTTCGCTCATTCTTTGGCCATATTAATTACAACAAAGACATTGTGTGGCTTCAGAATGCAGCTGCTTTATCGAAATGGGGTCAACAGGTCTTCTTTGGATAACTTTTCGGTCCTTTATTTTATTACTTGCTCTCCTTCCTAAACTTTCAGGGTGGAAGGTGTGTATGAGTGAGTTGGAGAGCTTGCATCCTTTGCGCAGCCTCCTTGGGACTCACTGCACTGAGATGATGCGCCACCTCCAGCACAGAGGCCCTTTTTATGAAGTGTCGGATTTGGGGGCTAAGATGTCCAGATAGTGGCGCTGAACTGCACAGGTGTTCTTGAATCCGAGCCAGAAGTTCCCAGTCCATTGTGTGGCTTGATGAAGTATCAGCTTAGACTTGATCTGGAATTGAACTTAGATGTGTATTAAGTGGATTCTTTGAGGAAGAACCCTTCAGAAGGAATTCTGCCCTCACTCTGGACGTTTGGTTTAGAGGTTTACATAGCCTTTGTTACAAGATATCTAGTTATCACTGATTTTACCCCCAAAAGCTTTAGCTTAGGAACATTTTTTTTTAATGACATAAACAACTCTATTGGGCTTCCTATTGCCCTCTCTCAACAAGAAGGAAGTTTAAAATCCCACCCACTGCCATCAAGTTGATGTTAGTTGGTGACCCTATAGGGGAGAGTAGAGCTGCACCTGTGCGATTCTGAGGCTGTAAGTCTTTACAGAAGCAGAAAGCCTCATCGTTCTGCCAGGGAGCTGCTGGTAGGTTTGAACTGCTGGCCTTGAGGTGAGCTGCCCCCAGTGAGTAACCACTCCACCCCCAGGGCTCCTTGAAGACAGCTGGCAGAGCGCTGCCTTTGTGCTCTCCAAACCGAACCCTGTGTCTCCTCTGGCTGACTGCCCGGCAGAGGAGGCGCTTCTCCACGGGGCAGGTGGATGTCACCCTGCCTAGGACCAGACTTAGAGAAAAGTCCTCCGCAAGGGTCCCTGTGTCCCCGGTGACCTCCAGCACCTTTTGTTGGGTCCGTGTGCGCTAACAGTTTTTCAATTAGTGGCTAACACTTAAAACAATATCCCAGTGTTTGGGTCTGTAAGTCGAGATGTCCGGCTTTCTTCAAGAATAGGCCACCCTGTGGACTGTGGGCTGAGCCCCTTGCATGGCCCTGCCCGCTAGACAGCCCTGCTCTGGCCCCGTAGATCTCCCATGGATCCATGTGCACTCTCTCTGCTGCACCTCCGTACCCGTCCACTCACCTGGAGAAACCCTGGTAGAAAGCCTCCTGAGAAGCATCCCCAGTCTTGAGCTCTCAAAGACCTTGACGTCATGTCCAAACCCTGTTGAGGTAGAAGCATCGCCCAGAGCTACCTGTCTCTTTAGCCCTTCCCTTGGTGTGATCTGGACTTCCTCTCTCTTTCGGTAGATGTCTTTATTTGTGGGGGCTATAACGGAGAAGTGATCTTGGGCGACATCTGGAAGTTGAATCTGCAGACTTTCCAGTGGGTGAAGCTCCCGGCGACCATGCCCGAGCCAGTTTATTTTCACTGTGCGGCTGTCACACCAGTAAGTCCGTGTTTTCCTGTCCTTCTCACAGAGCTGCAGAGGATAAGGACATCCGTTTAGGGGGAGGGAGGCGGAGGGCCCTGAGATGAACACACTTGGCACTAAGAATGTTTTCATAAAACTTCCTCCCAAAGCTAGCCAGACCTGAGGGGCTGGGGGCGCAGTGGGGGCTGGGGTGGGTAGCGTGGTGCAGCAGCTTGAAGAGAAGGCCCACATGGGTGATCAGACTCCGATGGTGACACCAAAGGCCAAGGCAGTGTCGCCCAGGATGCCACATTTGTGACGCTCCCCGCCAGGGTTTCAAAAGCAAACACCTTCCTTTTGAGCTTTGCGGTCCCGGCATTTGGCACAGTGGGCACCTAATCCAGTCTTGCTTTAATTTGGCTTGCTGAAGTTGTGACGTTTTCAGTTGGCGGTGGGTCCCGGAGTAGCCCCTCATTGTGGAGCGGCCGCGGCAGGCACCAGCATGGGACCCGTGAGGACTTGTTTTGGTGTCCTTTCCCCAAGTTCAGCCACTGTGTGATGTGGATGTGTGGGCCTTGGTGCCTGTGGCTGGCCCTATGAGCGTGCCCCTCTGACTGCCGTCTCTCCCCAGGCCGGCTGCATGTACATCCACGGGGGAGTGGTGAACATCCACGAGAACAAACGGACTGGCTCCCTGTTCAAGATCTGGCTGGTGGTACCCAGCCTGCTGGAACTGGCCTGGGAGAGGCTGCTAGCTGCCTTCCCCAACCTGGCCAACCTCTCCCGGACACAGCTTCTGCACCTCGGCCTTACGCAGGGACTCATCGAGCGCTTGAAATGAGGATTTCCGGGCTGTTCATTGATACTGGAAATTTAATTTAAAGAGACTCCTTTATTTATGGGCAGTGGAGACTGTGCTACAGAGAGGACTGGTTCCCCTGATCAAGGCCTTACTCAGAAAATACATCAGATGCCTTTCTGTACATTGGTTTTTAAGTTTCTGGAGCCCTGACTTC